GTCGTCGTTTGCGTCGTCGTTGTTGCCGTGGTCGTCCTTCCTCCTCCCTCGTCGTCGTCGTCGTCGTCCGTCGCCGGCGTCTCGTCGTCGTCCCTCCTATTTCGTCGCCGTCGTCGTCTTCGTCGTCGTCCTCCCTCCCTTCTTCGTCGTTCGCGTCGTCGCCGTTCTCCCTCCTCCCTCGTCGTTGTCGTCGTCGGCGTCGCGGTCCTCCCTCCTTCGTCGTTCGCGTCGTCGTTGTCGTCGTTATCGCCGTCGTCGTCCTCCTTCCTCCCTCGTCGTCGTCTTCGTTGGCGACGTCGTCGTCGTCTGCGTCGTCTTCGTCGTCGGCGTCGTCGTCGTCGTCGGCGTCGTCGTCGTCGGCGTCGTCGTCGTCGGCGTCCTCGTCGTCGGCGTCGTCGGCGTCAGCATCGTCGTCGTCGTCGGCGTCGTCGTCGTTGTCGTCGTCGTCGTTGTCGTCGTCGTCGAAGTCGTCGGAGTCGTCGTCGGTGTCGTCGTAATCGTCGGCATCGTCGTCGTTGTTGTCGCGGTCGTCGTCGGCGTCGGTGTCGCTGCCAAGTGCCATGTGGTACATACCGTCACGGTCTTAAGAGGTCTTGCGAATAATTTGCGGGTGGGAGGGTGGGAGGTTTGCACGGGCAGTGGAGAGGACAGCTTCAAGACAGTCGAAATTAATTCCCCTTTCTAAACAGGAGATAGGTTCTACCACCCTCCCTTCCCCCGGGGTTCACGCTTCACCTTTTTGTGTTGCAATTCACATATGAGTGTGCCCCATGGTCCATCCTAACTGTGAAGCCATATTACCCCAGCCAAACTGGTATCGCCCCCAGCCCCCCCCCGCCATCCCCTGCAAAAAACAACATGCGCGCACACTCGTTTATCAAAAAACATGAGTTGTCAAAAACCCCTTGCAAAAAAAGGACGACGTGCACACGCGCGCGTTGTCGCGCGCGCATGCCGAAAGCATTCAAAAACATTCGGCTTCGGAAAAAAATCAAAATCGAGTTCCCAAAAAAAAACATACAAAACACATGGTTCCGCAACACGGATTTTCAACAAAAGCGTACGAGCGCGCTCTTGCGTCGTCGTCGTCGTCGTCGCCGTCCTCCCTCCTCCCTCGTCGTCGTCGTCGTCGCCGACGTCGTCATCTGTCGTTCCTCGTCGTCGTCGTCGTCGTCATCGTCGTCCTGATTGGCGTCGTCGTCGTTTCCGTCGTCGTTGTCGCCGTGGTCGTCCTTCCTCCTCCCTCGTCGTCGTCGTCGTCCGTCGTCGGCGTCTCGTCGTCGTCCCTCCTATTTCGTCGTCGTCGTCGTCTTCGTTGGCGACGTCGTCGTCATTTTCGTCGTCGTCGGCGTCGTCGTCGTCGGCGGTTTCGTCGTCGTCGTCGTCGTCGGCGTCGTCGTGGTCGTCGGCGTCCTCGTCGTCGTCGTCGGCGGCGTCGGCGGCGCCGTCGTCGTCGTCGGCGTCGTCGTTGTCGTCGTCGTCGTTGTCGTCGTCGTCGACGTCGTCGACATCGTCGGAATCGTCGTCGGTGTCGTCGTAGTCGTCGTCGGCGTCGTCGTCGTTGTAGCTGTCGTCGTCGGAGTCGTTGTCGTTGCCAAATGCCATGTGGTACCTACCGTCACGGTCTTGAGAGGTCATGCGACCAAGTTGCGGGTGGGAGGGTGGGATATGTGCACGGGCAGTCGTTAGGACAGCTTCAAGACAGTCAAACTAGATTGCACGTCATAGATTCTCTTTTCTGAAAGATTATGTCACCCTCCCTCCCCGGACTTATCGACTCCCCTTTTCGCATTGCAATTTACATATGATTCTGCCACATCGCCCATCCGAACTTTGAATTACACTATCCCAGGGGCGCCTGTATCACCCCCCCCGACATCCTCTGGAAAAAATATGCGCGCACACACGTTTATCACAAATCAGAAAGTGTTCAAGAATCCCTTGGCGAAAACGGGACGAAGTGCACACGCGCGCTTCGTCGCGCGTATGCCGAAATCCTTCGAAAGCCTTCGGTTTCGGAAAGATTTCAAAATCGACTGCCCAAAAAGCATATAAGAAAACACGGTTTCGCAACACGGATTGTTTATATATATATATATATATATATATATATTTATATTATATATATATAAAAAAAAAAAAAAAAAAAAAAAAAAAAAAAAAATGCGCGCGCTCGTGCGAATTCTTAAGAAAGCCATAACGTTTTCAACATCTTCAAAAAATGCTATCAAACGGACTTCGCACGCGCGCATGCCGAAATCGCTCGAACGCCCTTGCGCGCGTGCTGGGGTGGCACGATCCGTGCCAAGCCACACCATGCGAGCCACTCTCGCGCGTCTGCCGCGCGCAAATTTCGAATTCCTTCGAAAACCTTCATCACCGACGCGAAGACGCCGTCATCGTCGACAACGTGATCAGCCTGTCTTTCCTCGTCGTCGCCGCCGTCGTCCGTTTTGGCGTCGTCGTTGCTTCCGTCGTCGTTGTCGCCGTGGTCGTCCTCCCACCTCCCTCATCGTCGTCTTCGTTGGCGACGTCGTCGTCGTCTTCGTCGTCGTCGGCGTCGGCATCGTCGTCGGCATCGTCGTCGTCGTCCGTCGTCGGCGTCGTCGTCCTCTTTGGCGTCGTGGTCGTTTCCGTCGTCGTTGTCGCCGTGGTCGTCCTTCCTCCTCCTCCCTCGTCGTCGTTGTCGTCGTCCGTCGTCGGCGTCCCGTCGTCGTCCCTCCTATTTCGTCGCCGCCGTCGTCGTCGGCATCGTCGTCGTCGTCCGTCGTCGGCGTCGTCGTCGTCGGCGTCGTCGCCGTCGGCGTCGTCGTCGTCGTCGGCATCATCGTCGTCGTCGGCGTCGTCGGCGTCGTCGTCGTCGTCGTCGGTGTCGTCGTCGTCGTTGTCGTCGTCGTCGAAGTCGTCGGAGTCGTCGTCGGTGTCGTCGCAGTCGTCGTCGGCGTCGTCGTCGTCGCGGTCGTCGTCGGCGTCGGTGTCGCCGCCAAGTGCCATGTGGTACATACCGTCACGGTTTCAAGAGGTCTTGCGACCGAGTTGCGGGCGGGAGGGTGGGATGTTTGCACGAGCAGTGGAGAGGACAGCATCCAGACAGTCAAAATAGGTTCTCCTTTATATAAACAGAATAGGATATACCCCCACCTCGGGTATGTAAATCATATATGATTCTGGCCACATGCCCATCTTAGATATGAATTTACACCATCCCCGGGGGGGGCGATATCCCCCCCTGAGGTTCCCTTGTAAAAAAACACTATGCGGTAACATTTTTGTTCTAACATAGCAGGTTTTCACGAACCCCTTGCAAAAACCGAGACGGCGTTGACACGCGCGCGCCGTCGCGCGCGCATGCCGCAATCCTTCAAAAACGCTCGGTGTCGGGAGGATTTCGCAATCAAGCTTCCAAAAAAAATCTAAAACACAGGGTTTCGCGACACTGATTTGCTAAAAAAGTTTCCGCGCGAGTTCTTGCGGAATCTTGAGAAAACCATAGGTTTTTCCAGATTTTCACAACGTGCGACCAAACGGGCTTCGCGCGCGCGCATGTCGAAATCTGTCGAACGCCCTTGCGCGTGTGCCGTCGCGAGAACCCTTAGCAAAAAACGGGACGAAGTGCAGACGCGCGCGTCGTCGCGCGCGTTTGCCGAAAACCTTCAAAGCCCATCGGTTTCGGAAGGATTTCAAAATCGTGTGCCCAAAACTGGCCATCGCTCCGACGTCCATATTCCTGTGTTTTTTTCGGTTTCGAACTTGGCTTTTTCGCGAAATGATCTAGGATGCTCCTCGACAGCCCTCGCCGAGAAAACATGCACACGCCCGAGCGATGCCAGGAAAAAAACCTACAAAAACCCAAGGTTTCGCAACACGGACTTTCACCAAAAACGTGCGCGCGCGCTCTTGCGTCGTCGTCGTCGCCGTCCTCCCTCCTCCCGCGTCGTCGTCGTCGCCTACGTCGTCTTCTGTCTTTCCTCGTGTTCGTCGTCGTCGTCCTCTTTGGCGTCGTGGTCGTTTCCGTCGCCGTGGTCGTCCTTCCTCCTCCTCCCTCGTCGTCGTCGTCGTCGTCCGTCGTCGGCGTCTCGTCGTCGTCCCTCCTATCGCACCGTCGTCGTCGTCGTCGTCCTCGTTGTTGTCGTCGTCGTCGTTTTCCCTCCTCCCTCGTGGTTGTCGTCGTCGGCGTCGCCGTCCTTCCTCCTTTTTCGTCGCTCGCGTCGTCACCGTCCTCCCTCCTCCCTCGTCGTTGTCATCGTTGTCGTCGTTGTCGCCGTCGTCGTCATCCCTCCTCCCTCGTCGTCGTCTTCGGTGGCGACGTCGTCGTCTTCGTTGTCGTCGGCGTCGGCGTCGTCGTCGTCGCTGACGTCGGCGTCGTCGTCGCCGCCGCCGTCGTTAGACTGCACAACTTTGAGAGCACAACAAATATTGCACCGTACATTTTGCACCACTCAGAATCCACGACATCGCTTGCACAACATATACTAAAGCGCATTGATTGCACCACGTTGGTTGCACAATACCTGTATTTGTATGTGTATATATATATATATATATATATATATATATATATATACCAGATCGGATCGGACCCCTCGGAGGCAGCAGTACGGATGTCTCGGGCGCCGAGTGTCTCTAGGATCGGGCTACACCCGAAAATAAGCCATACAGTCACACACTGACAGAAAACGAAACGCAGGTCTTAGCGCCTGCTCGTTCCTACGAGTCTCATAATGGCATCCATCATCCTTGAATCGACACCTGTGCTTTGTCTGGCAGCAGTGGGAGGAAAAGACGAACCGCGGGAATCGCATGTATAAATAGTGCGAGCTGGCGGTGGGACGGAAGTCCTGCGAGGCCTCTTAGGGGGAGGAGGAGGAAGAGGAGGCTCGGAGGACGGAGGAGGGGGTTCAGGGGCGCTGGGCAGGCTAGGCTCTGGGCCCTCAGAGCGGCTCTGCATTCCAGCCTGGGCAAGGGCGCGGGCGCGTGCTAACAGCGAAGCTGTCCACATCTCAGTACGGGTACTCGAAGGGGTAACCCTCGTAGGTGATCGACGTGGGCTTCCCATGCCCCGAACCACTGCTGAGGGCGCACTCGTAGGTGCAATAGGTGGGCAGTCCGTGCCCTGAACGACTGCAGTAGAGGTGGGTGCACTCTTCGATGCTTGAGGTGAGACTCCCATGCCCTGAACTGCTGGCGTAGAAGTCGGCGTACTCTGTGATGCAGGAGGTGGGCTCTCCATACCCTGAAAAAACTGTAGTAGACGCACTCTGCGAAGCAATGGGTGGGCTCTCCAGGCCCTGAACAACTGATGGTGTAGGCGCACTCTGCGATGCAGACGGTGGGCACCCCATGCCCCGAACTGCTGGCGTCAAAGGAGGCGCATTCGTAGATGCGTGCGGTGGGCTCTCCATGCCCTGAACAGTTGGCTTAGTAGTTGGCGCATACCCAGACGCAGGCGAGAGGCCCCCCCTGCCTGTCGTCACAGTACTCTTCGGAATACAAGTGTCCCATAGCGCACAACTATGTCCAGCCCAGTTGGAGGCGTTGAAATCTATCCCATGGTCACGTCCTCTAACTGCGTCAGCTTCGTGTGAAGGATCCTCTCCGTGTGCACCATCGGACCTGCCCTGGCTTGTAGATCGCTCCCGTCTGGATGAGTGATTCGTGGATCACGCTGAGGTCGACGTCGCTCTTGGGGTTGAGGCTGATCTGAAGCTTGCACTGCGCGGCGTCGCGCGTGTCGCCGGCCTTCACGAGCGGGGCGAGCTCGACGATCTGCTTGATATCCATGGTCTTCAGCTTCTCGCCCAGCGCTGTCAGGTTCTGTTGGTTGAGGCCGCCGACGGACGCGCCTTCCTGATGGAGACCTTCGAGCAGACCTGCGAAGGCTGCGGTGCTGATCGTGCCGATCTTCGCCATCTCCGCATCGATCTGCGTTGCCGTCGCCGCACTTCGTATCTCTTCGGCTCTTTTTACCCATGCGCGAACTCGAGCTCTGATCGCCACGACGCTTTTCGTGCCAGGTGAGACGAGGTACGTCTTGATCAGTATGGCGTCGGTCTGGCGTTGCCTCATCGCAACGTTGAGTAGTAGCTTCATGACAATGGGAAACATGCGCTGAATATCCTTCAGTTCCATCTCCTCCAGGTCGAGTGGCTGCAGGTCCACCATCTTGGACTTCGACCCACTCTGTTGGTTTCCACGGCCGGTGGGCTGGCGGCGTCGGGACTTGTGAGCAGGCTGTGTCGCATCTGCCGCGGCTGCGCCTGCGTGCTCTCCAGCGTTGGGCAGTGAGCTCATCCACGACATGAGGGCGAGGTTCGGGAAGGTGTTCCGTCGCAATGTGAGCTTGCAACTCGCCGAGGGTAGCGAAGGTGTGCTCGCATACGTCACTTGGGCAAAACAGCTGCGGAGGATCGTTCACCTCGAAGTTGTAAACAGAGCGGTGTTTTTGGCATCTCCCAGAACGATAAGCAGCAGCAAGATGATTGATCGCAGTCTGTCGGCTCGCGAAGGTCGATCGGCAGTTAGGGCATTGGTTCGTAATCGTGAATCTCGTATGCTCGCATATTCGTCCGTGCTCGCCTCCCTCCCCACTCATCGTTTGGCGCACTCGGAGCGCTTGTTTTGTTTCGGCCGTGAACAGGCATAACGCTCCATCCTCGCCTAGAAGGCCACACGTGTGGGGGCTACTCCAGGCGACTGTTGCATCTGGAGCACTGCGGGGTGGTGGGACGGGCTGTGCAATCCACCACTTTCGTACACGTGCAATCGTTAGCTTGATAAACACGTCTCGACCAGGTGTCGGTCGAAAAATGTCGAGCAGATCGTCGCCAATGACGTCTAGGCATGCTCGTCCGTCTGCAAATACATTCAGCAACTTCATGTCATCAAAGAACTGCTTGCGCCAAGGGTTGGTCCTATGCGTGGGGCCGTTACCATCTGGGGGGCCACGAACGTTGCATGTAGAGGCTGTGTGTACAGGGGCCCAGAGGAAGTCCAGCGTCGCCGTGGACTCGCAAAGTAGTTTGCCAAAAAACACAGGCTAGTACTTGAGCGCGATGGTCAGGTTCTCGCTCAACGCGTTGCCATCGCTTGACGCGCACGATCTGCATGTCCAGGGAGGGCGGTACCATCTTCAATTTTTCCAGACCGCATAAGATGAGATATTGCGAACAACCTCGCCGGTGCCAGAGGTGGCGTCGTCGTCGGCGGACTGCTTGATATATGCGGTACCTTGAAGTAGGGCACGGGCGTGACGAGCTACACAGGCGTCTATATGATCGAGTTGTGTCTTTGTCAGTACACGTGCTTCAAGTCCAGAGGTAGCGGCCGATAATACCTGACTTCTGAAAACCATTTTCCGACGTCTCATATATCGGCAATTCTTCCAGAAACGTCCCATACTGCGCCAACCGCGAGCCGTAGCGATACACCGTTCCTTGACCTCGGCGTGGTTGTGACCGTCAGCCTGCATGATGGAGCCTAAGAACAGGGTCGAGGAATGAACTTCGCCGTCAACTGGTATCTGGCGATAATGCAGGGCGCGCGCGTATCTGTGAGCGCCAGTGCCGACAAACGTCGGTAGAAGAGCCTTTTTCCCCGCATTCTGCTGCAGTCCGATGGAGCGCAGCTTGTCATTCAGGATCTGGTCGGATTGTTGAACTTTGTAGGCCGCCATCTGTGCATCGCGACACATGTGAGTCTTGGTGAGGTCGTCGGCGCACTTGCGAACGCTGAGGTCGACGTTGGTGCCTGTAAACTCGCACCCCGCAATCATCGACGTGCTGATATCGGTAGTAAGTGCATCATTCCATTCAGTGGTGGGCTGCATGAAGGCCACGCGAAACTTGATCGCAGCATCGGCATCTCCCATGAAGCAGCCTACGGTGTTCTGGTATCCCTGAGTGTCAATCCCGTCGCTAATCACACATGCTGCTCGACGATGCCTGCCTTTCATGATCGTACAGTCGCCGGGGAGGTATACCTTGTCCACGGCGTCGTCGAGGTGGGAATGGTTCACCGAGGCGAAAGCGTTCGTCATGTCGTGCTTCGTGGTGATGCGGCTCCGCTGCTGCTTGGTGGGGCGCCACTGCAGTGCTAAGCCGACTGTGATCGCTGCTGAGCGCCATCGTGCACGCGCGTAGCCGTGCTCAGTATCGTGCAATGGCGTGAACGTGAGAGACTGCATTGAAACAACACATGTCTTTCCGAACGTGCATAATCCGCGCAGTAATCAAGTGCCTCGAGTACGCGGTTTATTGTTCATCTTGCTTACTTGATAGGTCTGAGAAAAGTTCCACCAAGCATTGAGCCGCTGGCGTTGACGAACCGCAGCAAGTTGTGTAAGAATCGCATCGCTGAGGAAAGGGCCAGGGAAGATCATCGTGTGGTCGTACTCATGGCTGCCGTCTTTTTTGCTGTCATCACTTCTATCGACGAGCAAAAGAGACCAGATCTCTGCAGGTAGCGACCATTCGGGATCAGCTCGTCGGCGTTTGCAATGCATCCGTAGCTGGCGTTTGATCGCATCGAAGTCGTACTGGGCGTGTCTCCACCGATGTGCAGAAAGGCAGAAACGCTCGTCGTTTGACGCAGCGGTGTCGATGAAGTGCTCGATATCAATTGGTGCCGCCTCCATTCCTCCTTCCGCGCCAGGAAGTGCCATATCTTCAGTCCATGTTTGAACAGACGGGCGGGCGTCGGGGAGGTCAAAGTAGCAGCGTTTGCCAGGGCCCTTTCCATTGCCTGCAAGGCGTCGACAAGCTCGCCAGACCTCTGCTTCCAGTCCTGCCTCATCAGCTTGCTGTAGTTCGCGAAAGTGCTGTTCGTCTCGGAGGCCACGTAGTCGGCGTCGAGGTTTTTTGCAGGCAGCGCTGCAGCGGTGCAGAGCAAGCGTGTCCTCTAGGTCGTCTGTTAAGTTCTGCCGAGCCTGTGTGCGTGCATGTAGTGCTTGACGCCGTTGATCTGCTAGCTGCTGGTACTCTAGCTCGGTCGTGGACTTCTGTGCTTCAAAATACTCCAGAGCTCGTGTGCGTATCTTCGATATCAATAATTGCCATCCCGACTCCATCGTGTTTTGCAGCCCAGTCTGCCATATCACGGTAGCCGTTCTCATTGAGGTAGTTAGACAGGTCAGACTCAATGTCGTCGCGTAGCTGCTTCGCCCATTCGGAGTATCGTTCATCTTTCCAGGCCAAGAATATGCGTGTGTAGTCCCACTGCGGCGTTGTCTGAGGTTTGTCGCATGTTAGGGTGCAGTCCACATCGATGTACAACATCATGTGATCCAGTAGTCGTTGAGACGGAAATGCTCGGAGTCGTTTGGTCAGGCGGTAAGCTATGGCATGGCGACGTACTCGCGGTAGATAGCGTATCGGCATCACCAGGTAATCGATGTAGCTCGAGTGCCCTCGTAGGCCGTGATAAGTAGGGCCGCACGGGTAGTACGTGTTCGTCGCGCACAGGGCGTAGTCTTTCAAGAACGTACGGAAAGTTTCGCCCGCATAGTGCTGCTGACCGTATGCATGGCCACCCATGGTGGCATCGTCGTCCTCTGTCGAGTTGGCGCGCGCGAGGCTGTCGTTCAGGTCGGCGCCGATGAATACGCAAGTACGGTTCGGCAAATTCGAGACGATGTCGTGCAGATAGCTGAGCATTTTGTCGATGATGACTTCGTTCTTTGAGGCAGTAGCGGCGCGCTGCGATCTCGGAGGGAAGTATGCTGTGATGAAGGTGAAGTCGAACAGTGCGCTCTTCACGCGCGTAGCGCCTACACGGCCGCGGAGAGCGGGTGGGGGCTGCCAGATCTTGATTATGTGTGTCTTCCGAAACCATCGTCTGCTCAGCCAAATCTCGGTGCCACATGAGTTGTTGCCTGTCGTGTTCTTACTACTGCGATGCCATCCAAACTTCAGCATGAGAAATTCCGCTGTCGAGTGCGTCTCGTAGGAGGACATGGTCTTGGTCTGCGTTCCAGAGAGGAGGACGGCATCATGTGTTCGAGCTCCTTAGAAATCTCCAGGCGTTTGTCGTAATCTTGCAAGGACATCGGATCCCAGGAAATGAGACGCATGTAGGCTGTCAGTGTGTGACATAGAAGCCCGACTTTCAGGACAGCGGGCATATTGTCCACGCTCTGGTGAACTCCGAGAAACTCGAGCCAGAGCTATATGTATATATATATATATATATTGTACCACAGAGTGCACAACTTATATAGCACCTCATGGGTTGCATCATATAGTGTACAAGCTGTACTGCACAGCAAAGAGTGCATCACTAGACTGCACAGCATGGCTTTCACCACATACATTGAACCGGATGGATTGCACCACATGGATAGGACAAGATACGTTGCACCACATGGATTGTACGACGTATGTCATTCTTTCTAAAAACAGAACAGGATCTCCCCCCCCGGCGTTATCAATTCCCCTTTTCGGGCATGTAAATCAAGGATGATTCTGACCACATGTCCATCCTAAGTATGAATTTACAATATCCCAAGCCGGCCGGTATCCCCCCCCCTGAGGTTCCCTTTGAAAATAATATTAAAAAAAAAAAAAAAAAAAAAAAAAAAAAAAAAAAAAAAAAAAAAAAAAAAAAAAAAAAAAAAAAAAAAAAAACTATGCGGTGACATTCTTGTTATAACATAACATTTGTTCACGAATCCCTTGCAAAAAATGAAACGAAGTGCACACGCGCGCGTCGTCGCGCGCGCATGCCGAACTCCTTGAAACAACACTCGGTGCCGGAAGGATTTCGCAATCGAGTTTCCAAAGAACATACAGAAACACAGGGTTTCGCAACACCGATGTGCTAAAAAAAACTTCCGCGCGAGCTCTTGCGAAATCTTGAGAAAACCATGCGTTTTTCAAGATTCTCACAACATGCGACCAAACGGGCTTCGCGCGCGCGCATGTCGAAATCTGTGAGAGAGCGTGATCCACCGCCGCTCTACTGTGGAAAATTGCCAACCTTTTCCTTCGGAACCCGGGGGCCGCCCCCCCCCCCTCCGAAAATCCCCCCCCCCTGCTGGAACCCCTCCCCCCCCCCCCCCCCCCTCTCCCCCGGCAAAACTCTCCCCCTCCCTAACCCCTCCCCCCCCCCCCCCCTCCCGAAAACCGGGGGGGTCACTACCGGTTCGAACCCCTCCCCCCCCCCTCCCCCCGGATCCGGAAAACCGGGGGGGGTCACTACCGGTTCGAACCCCCCCCCCCCCCCCCCCCCCCCCCCCTACTCACCGCCAGCAAACGACTCCCGGTCCCCACCACCGTCCGCATCACATCCCCCACTGGTGTTCCCAGCACCACTGTCCTCACCACCGCTGTCCCCACTGGTTCCACCACCGCCCCTACTGTCCCCACCAGTGGCCCCACCACTGTCGCACTGTCCCCGCTGTCCCCAGAACTGTTCCCACCACGGTTCCACTCTCCCCACTGTCTCCACGGCCCCAACCACTGCCCGACTATCCCCACTGTCCCCACTGTCCCACTGACTCCTCCGCTGTCCCACTGAGCTGTCCCACTGTTCCCACCACTGTCCCCACTGTCCCCACCACTGTCCCCACTGTACCTCTGTCCCATTGTCCCACCGCCGTCCTCGCCACCGCCTTCACCACTGTCCCCACCACCATTGTACCCTCCACTGTCCCACTGTTTCCACCTCATTCCCATTGTCCCCACACCACTGTCCCCACCACCACCGTCACCACCACTGTCCACTGTCCCCCCCTGTTCCCACCATTGTCCCCACCACTGTCCCCACCACTACCGTCCCCACCACTGTCCCACTGTCCCACTGTCCCCACCACTGTCCCGCTATCCCCTCACCACTGTCCCCACCAACACCGTCCCCACCACTGTCCGCACCCCCACTCGGTTTTCGAGGGGGGGGGGGTTCGAACCGGTAGAACCGGTAGTGACCCCCCCCGGTTTTCCGAGGGGGGGGAGGGGTTCGAACCGGTAGTGACCCCCCCCCTTTTCATGATGAGGGGGGGGGGGGGGGGGAGGGGTTCGAACCGGTAGTGACCCCCCCCCGGTTTTCCGCCAGCAGCGGTAGAACACGCTCTTTCAAATCTGTCGAACGCCCTTGCGCGTGTGCCGTCGCGAGAATCCTCTGCAAAAACCGGGACGAAGTGCAGACGCGCGCGTCGTCGCGCGCGTATGCCGAAATCCTTCAAAACCCACCAGTTCCGGAAGGATTTCAAAATCGTGTCCCAAAAACATTCAAACACCCAAGGTTTCGCAAGACGGATTTTCAACAAAAGCGTGCGCGCGCGCTCTTGCGTCGTCGGCATCTTCCTTCCTCCCTCGTCGTTGTCGTCGTCGGCGTCGCCGTTCTTCCTCCTTCTTCGTCGTTCGCGTCGTCGCCGTCCTCCCTCCTCCCTCGTCGTTGTCGTCGTTGTTGTCGTTGTCGCCGTCGTCGTCCTCCCTCCTCCCTCGTCGTCGTCTTCGTTGGCGACGTCGTTGTCGTCGTCGTCGTCGTTCTCTTCGTCGTCGTCGTCGTCGGCGTCGTCGTCGTCGGCGTCGTCGTCGTTGTCATCGTCGTCGTCGTCGGCATCGTCGTCGTCGTCGGTGTCGTCGTCGTCGTGGTCGCTGTCGTCGTCGAAGTCGTTGGAGACGACGTCGGTGTCGTCGTCGCCGGTGTCGGCGGCGCCGTCGTCGTCATTGTCGCTGTCGTCGTCGGCGTCGGCGTCGTGGCCAAGTGCCATGTGGTACCTACTGTCACGGTCTTGTCTTAAGAGGTCTTGCGACCAAGTTGCGGGTGGGAGGGTGGGATGTTTCTACGAGCAGTGGAGAGGACAGCTTCAACACGGTCAGAAATTAATTCTCCTTTTCTAGAAAAAGAATAGGATCTACCCCCCCCGGCGTTATCGGTTCACGATTCGGGTATGTAAATCATATACGATTCTGACCACATGTCCATCCTAAATATGAAATCACAATGTCCCAGGCCAGCGGGTATCCCCCCCCTGAGGTTCCGTTGTGAAAAACACTATGCCGGAAGGGTTTCGCAATCGAGTTTCCAAAGGACATACAAAAACACAGGGTTTCGCAACACTGATGTGCTAAAAAAGCTTCCGCGCGAGCTCTTGCGAAATCTTGAGAAAACCAATACGTTTTTCAAGATTCTCACAACATGCGACCAAACGGGCTTCGCGCGCGCGCATGTCGAAATCTGTCGAACGCCCTTGCGCGTGTGCCGTCGCGAGAATCCTCCGCAAAAAATGGGACGAAGTGCAGACGCGCGCGTCGTCGCGCGCGTATGCCAAAATCCTTCAAAACCCATCGGTTTCGGAAGGATTTCAAAATCGTGTGTCCCAAAAAACCTACCAAAACACAAGGTTTCGCAACACGGATTTTCAACGAAAGCGTGCGCGCGCGCGTTCTCGCGTCGTCGGCGTCTTCCTTCCTCCCTCGTCGTTGTCGTCGTCGGCGTCGCCGTCCTTCCTCCTTCTTCGTCGTTCGCGTCGTCGCCGTTATCCCTCCTCCCTCGTCGGTGTCGTCGTTGTCGTCGTTGTCGTCGTTGTCGCCGTCGTCGTCCTCCCTCCTCCCTCGTCGTCTTCGTTGGCGACGTCGTTGTCGTCGTCGTCGTTGTCTTCGTCGTCGTCGTCGGCGTCGTCGTCGGCGTCGTCGTCGTTGTCATCGTCGTCGTCGTCGGCATCGTCGTCGTCGTCGGTGTCGTCGTCGTCGTGGTCGCTGTCGTCGTCGAAGTCGTTGGAGACGTCGTCGGTGTCGTCGTCGTCGGTGTCGGCGGCGCCGTCGTCGTCGTTGTCGCTGTCGTCGTCGGCGTCGGTGTCGTGGCCAAGTGCCATGTGGTACCTACCGTCACGGTCTTGTCTTAAGAGGTCTTGCAACCAAGTTGCGGGTGGGAGGGTGGGATGTTTGCACGAGCAGTGGAGAGGACAGCTTCAAGACGGTCAAAGTGGATTACACCACATAGACTGCACCACCTAGATTTAACCACACGGATTGCACCACAACGACAGCACTAGTTTGCAAGAAACACACTGTTTGAGGTCCACGCTGGCTACCAATCTGACAGAAGGAAGTGTTTCTTGAGGGAAACGGGTCCTGAACCATCTTCTGACAGTCCTGGGGCCCAGAGAGGGTACAGGGGGCCCAAGAAACGGCGAAATCCGCTCGTGACGAATATTCGGCGTCCCCTGGCGCCTCGACGCGTTGCCGGGAGGTGATGATGGAGTGGGTGGAGTCCACGCGCGCCCGCATCTCGTCGAGGTCGACGTTGACGGCGTCCATGGCGGCGGTGAAATCCTCCATGTCGCGCTCGTTGGCGAGCACGATGCGCTTGACCTTAAGGAAAAAGCACGCACAAGCATGAACTGCCGGAAGTCTCTTGGATCGGCGTTGGGCGCCCCTGGCAGGCCCCGCGGCACCATGGAGGGGGTACGGGGCCGATCCGACTCCGAAAGTTGATGTTTGTGCCGGGTTGTCTTCTTCTCTTCTTCGCCGACCGAAGCGGTGTCGTTTTTGGTAGCGCCCACGATGTCCTTCAGCTCCCCCAGATCGTACTTGACCTGGTCGAGGTCGAAAGCCAAACTCTCGGTGCTCGCCCCGCCCTCCGCCGCGCCCTTGCCATGCTGCTGGGCCCCAAGGAACGCGATCTTCTTCTCTATGTCGGCGGACATGACCTGCGACTCAGGGCTGAACCTAAACGGTGTTTTTCGTTTTCGTTTTGTTCTCGTTTTCCCTCGTTTTGTCTTCAATCCGCCATTCGCGCAAAACGGAATCGGAACGAAAACAGCCCACGACATCGCCGAAGCACCGCTTAGGTCCGCCCCTGCTGCGACTGGCTCCGCGGTGGGGGAGCGGGGCGAGGGGGGAGGGTGAAAACGGGGAAGGCGAGAGGCGGCAGGTGGAAACGAGAGGGGAGAAGGGCGAAAGGGGAGCGGCGGAGGACGGAGGGGCCCAGGGGAAGGAGCCGAGGGCGAAGGGCGCTTTGATGAGGGTGGAAGGGCCCCGGGGGGAAGGGCGAAATGGGGAAGGGCGAACGGGGAAAGGCCAAGAACCTGGGGGGAAGCGAGGAGGAGGCCCGATCCAACTCTGAGATAAAATTATACCAAGGCCCCATCCAACTCTCATAGAATCCTGCCACTAGGTCTGGATCGAGCGCCACAACAATCCTGACAAAAAGGCTGGACCCAGCCCTCATGGAATCCTACAAAGGCTGGATCCAGCTCTATTAGAATGCCACTAGGGTTGGATCCACCTCTACTGGGATCCTACTGTAATCGAAGCTGTAATCCAGCTGTAATCGAATCCTACTGGACAGGGCTTGATCCAGCTGTAATCGAATCCTACTGTAATCCTACTGGACAGGGCTTGATCCAGCTGTATTCGAATCCTGCTACTAGGGTTGGATATCGCTCTGATTGAATCATACTAGGGCTCGATCGAGCTCTCACGAATCCTATCAAGCCTGTGGGTTCTGCTGAAAAAGAATGCTGCGAGGGCTGGATCCGAGTTTAATGGAAGCCTACGCAGGGCCCGATCAAGCCCTGATAGATAGCAACGACGGCTGGATCAATTTCGAGCGGACTCCTACTAGGGTTCGATCCAACTCTCAAAAAATTCTACGATGCGGGATCTAGATCTAGAGGAATCTCACTTAGAAGGTCGAACCAGCTCTGGGGCTGGGTCCAGCTCTATCAAGATCCTGCCAGGGTTCCATCCACAAGCTCTGATACAGTCCCAGTGCTCGATCCAACGCTAATAGAGCGGTACTCGAACTCCAGCTCTAATAAACTCCCATCAGGGTTCGATCAAGCTTGAAGAAAATATACTAGGGTCCCATCCAGTTTTCATAACATCCCACCAAATCTCGATCGTCGTCGTCTTCGTAATCGTCGTCGTTTGCCGTCGTCGTGGTCGTCATCGTCGTTGTCGTCGTCAGCGTCATCGTCGTTTGCCAGCGGTGACGTCGTCGTCGTTTGCCGGCGGCGACGTCGTCGTTATCGTCGTCGTTATCGTCATCGGCGTCAGCGTCGGCGTCGGCGTCGGCGTCGGCGTCGGCGTCGTCGTCGTCGTCTGCAGGCAACGGCGGCAAGGGAGGCAGGTTTCTGGACCCTGAATAATTTTCGGAAAAGGTGGGTGGATCCTGGGCCCCACCAGCTAAATTTTCGATGGGGGAGGGCGAAGGTCCAAAACCCCCCACTCCCTGGTTTTTTTTTTGGGGGAGACCCAAACCCTGCCAGCAGTAGCAGAAAGCGCTCTTTCCATCGTTGTGGTACCTCGGGGGGCCAACAACGCAATTGGGAGATCCAAGTCCGCCGGCCCCTTGGGATTCATCGGCGTGTGAGATGTCTCCCCCTCCCCACACCCCTCCCCCGGAAGCCCGGTCTGGTCATTCGGAGGGGGAGGGGTTCGTTCCCCCAGGATCTGGGTAAACACATCTGGGGGGGCACAGGGCCCCAAAACAGATCAGTGGCCCTTGGAGCGGTCCACGATGACCACGAGCCGCTGAAAGATTTCTCCAAAACGCCCACTCTGGCCTCCAGACGCCCCAAGAAGCCTCCAGGAGGCGCCCCAAGAGGGCCTCCAGAAGGAAAAATCGTCCCACTCCCTCATGGTAAGCGCGCATTGTCTGCAAATTCGCCTCTTGGGCGTTCGCAACGTCCCAGACGGCCTAACAGGTCTTCAACTTCGCCACACGACGGGGCAAGAGGCCCCCAAGAGAGTTCCAAGACGACCCAAAAGGTTCCCAGGACGGCCCAGAAACACGAAGACGGCCAAGGAGGGCCCCAAGACAGCCCCAAAATAGGGAGCCCAGAAAGGGAACCCGAACGGACATTTCGAGTCAACCACCCCAAGACGCCCCTGGCTTGCCCCAAGGAGCCCCCAACAGGCCCCCAGGGACCGCCAAGACGGCCGCAAATAACTCTACGACGTACGCAACCCAGTTGCAACAAGTGGCAAAAAAATGTAAACCAAATTTGCCCGTCCATGGGATGCGCTATCGTGGCACGACTCACAGGACAGGACTCGAACGGCCCCGGAACTCAAAACAACCCCCAGGTAACAAAAAAAACCTCACTCCGCTGGACCCCAAGGATGGCGAGGTCTCCTGGTGGTCCGCGTGAGACGTCACTCCGCTGAACCCCCCGGCAGCCCTCTAAAGTGGCGACAGTTACGCAGATCACAGCCCCACAGGGATGTCGAGGTCTCCTCTCCTGTTGGTCCGCGTAAGACGTCACTCCACTCCGCTGGACCCCACGGCAGCCATCGAATGTGGCGACGGTTTCGCAGATCGCAGCCCCACAGGGATGGCGAGGTCTCATATGAATCTGGGTAAGACGTCACTCCACTGCACCTCCAACAGCCCTCGAAAATGGCGACAATCTCGCAGATCGCAGCCCCCCGAGGGATGGCGAGGTATCATCTGAATCTTGGGAAAACGTCATTCCGCTGCACCCCCCAGCAGCTCTCGAAAGTGGCAGCAGTTTCGCCGATCGCAGCCCCACAAGGATGTCGAGGTCTCACCTGAAGCTGTGCAAGACGTCACTCCGCTGTACACCCAGCAGCCCTCGAAAGTGGCCACAGTTTCGCAGATCGCAGCCCTACAGGCATGGCGAGGTCTCCTGGTGGCACTCCGCTGGACCCCCCAGCAGCCATCGAAAGTGGAGACAGCTCCGCGGATCGCAGCCCCACAAGGATGGCGAGATCTCCTGGTGGTCCGCGAAAGACGTCACTCTGCTGCCCCCCAGCAGCTCTCGAAAGTGGCAGCAGTTTCGCAGATCGCAGCCCCACAAGGATGGCGAAGTCTCATGGTGATCTGGGTAAGACCTCACCCCGCTGCACCCCCCAGCAGCCCTCGAAAATGGCGACAGTTACGCAGATCGCAGCCCCACAGGGATGGCGAGGTCTCCGGGTGATCCGCAAAAAAACGTCACCCCGCTGCATCCCCAAACAGCCTTCGAAAGAGGCGACAGTTTCGCAGATCGCAGCCCCACAGGGATGGCGAGGTCTCATCTGCGTCTGGGTAAGTCGCCACTCCGCTGCACCCTGGCAGCAGTCTGGGTAAGGCGTCAGTCCGCTCCCAGCAGTCATCGAAAGTGGCGACGGTTTCGCAGATCGCAGCCCCACAGGGATGGCGAGGTCTCGTTGTGGTCTGGGTAAGACGTCACTCCGCTGCACCACCCAGCAGCCCTCGAAATTGGCGACAGCTTCGCGGATCGCAGCCCCACAGTGATGGCGAGGTCTCATGATGGTCTGGGTCAGACGTCACTCCGCTGCACCCCCCAACAGCCTTCGAAAGTGGCGACAGCTACGCAGATCGCAGCCCCACAGGGATGGCGAAAGCTCCTGGTGGTCTGGGGAAGGCGTCAGTCCGCTGCACCCCCCAGCAGCCCTCCAGCCTAGCGACAGCTTCGCAGATCGCAGCCCCACAGGGATGGCGAGGTCTCCAAGTGATGTGGGTTAGACGTCACTCCGCTGCACCCCCCAGCAGCCCGTGAAAGTGGCGACGGTTTCGCAGATCGCAGCCCCACAAGGATGGCGAGGTCTCCTGGTGTTCCGCAAAAGACGTCACTCCGCTGGACCCCAGCAGCCCTTGAAAGTGGCGACATTTACGCAGATCGCAGCTCCACAGGGATGGCGAGGTCTCCTGGTGGTCCGCGAAAGACGCCACTCTACAGCAGCCCCCAGCAGCCCTCGAAAGTGGCGACAGTTCCGCGGATCGCAGCCCCACAAGGATGGCGAGATCTCCTGGTGGTCCGCGAAAGACGTCACTCCGCTGCACCCCCCAGCAGCCTTCCAAACTAGCGACAGCTTCGCAGATCGCAGCCCCACAGGGATGGCGAGGTCTCCAAGTGGTGTGGGTTAGATGTCACTCCGCTGCGCCCTGGCAGCAGCCCTCGAAAGTGGCGACGGTTTCGCAGATCGCAGCCCCCCAGGGATGGCGAGGTCTCTTGGTGATCCGCAACAAAAAACCCAGCAGCCCTTGAAAGAGGCGACAGTTTCGCAGATCGCAGCCCCACAGGGATGGCGAGGTCTCATCTGAGTCCGCGTAAAACGTCACTCCGCTGGACCCCCCAGCAGCCCTTGAAAGTGGCGACAGTTTCGCAGATCGCAGCCCCACAGGGATTGCGAGGTCTCATTTGAGTTTGGGTAAGGCGTCAATCCGCTGGACTCCCTGGGATGGCGAGGTCTCATTTGCGTCTGGGTAAGACGTAACTGCGCTGACCCCCCAGCAGCCCTCGAAAGCGGCGGCTGCGTCGCAGATCGCAACCCCACACGGACGGCGAGGCTCATGTGAGTCTGGTCAAGACGCCACTGCGCTGGACCCCCCAGCAGCCCTCGAAAGCGGCGACAGTTTCGCACATCGCAGCCCCCCAGGGATGGCGAGGTCTCATTTGAGTCCGGGGAAGACGTCGCTGCAGTGGACTCCCCAGCAGCTCTCGCAAGTGGTGACAGTTTCGCACATCGCAGCCACCCAGGGATGGCGAGGTCTCATTTGAGTCTGGGTCAGACGTCACTCCACTGGACCCCCCAGCAGCCCTCGCAAGTGGCAACAGTTTCGCAGATGAAGTCCCCCAGGGATGGCGAGGTTTCATTTGAGTCTGGGTAAGACGTCACTTTGCCGCAGCCCCCAGCAGTCCTCGAAAGTGGCGACACTTTCGCAGATCGCAAATCCCCAGGGATTGCGAGGTCTCATTTGAGTCTGGGTAAGACGTGACTCCGCTGGACCCCTCAAAGCCCTCGAAAGTGGCGACACTTTCGCAGATCGCAGCCCGACAGGGACGGCCAGGTACGAGGTAAGCTGGCACGCAGGAAGGAGCGCAGTGAGAGGCAGGAGAGAAGGGGAGAGGGGGCAGGAAGGAATGAAAGTGTGCGACCGCAGTGCTCTATTCAAAAAGAGTACCCAACGCAAGAAGGTTGGGAACAAAACAACCAAGCAAAATCCAGGCCACAGAATCCCACTTCACCAACGCACCCAGGATGGTGTAAGACCGGTTGGCCTCCTCGCTCTGATATGCGAACATACCAACGCGTCTGGCCCGGACAAGGGACAGCGTACCCCCTCTCATTTCAGTCCCAGGGCTACCCCACGCGCGCGGGGAAGCCAGGTGCGAGGTTTCAGGCTCCAGCGCCGGAGAAGGGCGGCAGGCAATCGGTGTACGCGGAACTGCTGCCAGCTGAGAGCTGCATCTCAGTCTCCTGTTTCAGCCTCCTCCTCCCCCTCCACTCCACTCCCCCCCGCCCTCCCCTTCCTCCTTCTCGTGCCCCCTTTCCCTTAGCTCGTCCCCGCCCCCCCCCCATCCACTCTCTGCCTGCCCCCCATCGTGGCCACTGCGAATCCGTCCGGGGGGCCTGCTGGGATGTCTGTTGGCCTTTTTGGGCCGTCTCGGGCGAGCTGAGCCTTTCCCCGGCGAAGTGGGCCTTTCCTCGGCGGGACCCGGGAGAAAGGTCCGTTCCGCGGGCGCGCCTTCCCTGAGGGCTTCGGGCCGCGTCGGCCCGCAGGGGCCCTGGGAGTGAGCTGCCGAGCTGGCTGTGAGACCACTGGGATGCGGATAGGCACCCCACAAGGTTTTTTTGTCCCCCGTGGGGGGGGGGCCCAGACACGCTCGCGTTCTGACAACAACAACAACAACAACAACAACAACAACAACAACAACAACAACAACAACAACAACAAAGAAGAAGGACGGAGGTGTTTGGCCGTTTTCGGGCTATGGGGGCCCTCGCTGGGCCCAGGGACCGTCAAAAAGCGACTCGGGATGAAAAACTGGCGCTGGGGAAAGGGTCAAGACTTCGGGGGACCGCGAATCAAAAAATCAGGACGCCGCCTGTCTGGGAGGGGGGCGGGCCCGAACGAGAGGCAGCAGCGCGGGCGTGGCAGGCTCGGGTCGCGACGACCCCAACGCTGGCTTCTCACACTGTGTGGACCCTTCGACCTCGAACGAACGGCGTCGTTCCAGTAGCTACGTCTGGGCCACTGGCGGCGTTCAACCTCCAACGCCCGCAGCGGGGTCGCCGATGGGACAAGGAGATGCCCAAGCAGTGCCGCTACGCGCGCGCGCTTTGACCAGGGCCCCGAGGCGAACCCTGGCGACGAGACTGATAGGGCCCTGCGACACACAAATCAATACACACAAATAAAAGGATTCCCTGTATTTTCCCATATTTTCTGGGTTTTTGTCTTCCCCCCCACTTCCCATATTTTCCTAGATTTTCTGGGGAATCGACGATGATTTGTGTCTGTGTGTTTTTCCCCTCGTGAGAGACCCCAGAGGAAGCCCCACAAGGCGAGGACCTGGGAGGGGCACCGGCATCGGCGAAGTCAGCCGCGGCGAGAGAGCCCACCGAACACGACCCACACTTTTGGTGACGTGGGCCCTGGGCCCCTGGGATCTCGACCCCTTTCCCAATGGCCAGAACGGCGTCCTTCAGCGCAGTCAAAACTTGCACGGACTGAAATGGAACGAAGAGCGGCGGCAGTTACTGCCCACTTTGAACTGGACTCGCCGTCGGTGTCGCCGTGGACGTTGGCCATTTCCTCTAAAGAGCCACCTGCCCAACGCAGCAGCTGTCGGTTTGGGCAAATTTGTATGGCTGGGCATGGCACCTATTGTTTCCGTGTCCATGTCAGGTAGGCCAAGCCCTGACTCGGCTGGGAAACAGAATCCCAAAGCCGAAAACGTCAAAACGTCAAAACCAGGACCTGGAGGTATCGTCATCTCAGAAATCGTTCCCTGGACCCGTCCCGCCACCGTGGATTCTCACAGGAGCTTCGAAAGAAATCTGGCCGTGGCGACGAGGAGTTCCCAGGACTCCCAAAAACGTTCCAACATGGTTTTCCGGAGGCTGTTCGGAACGATGTGGACACCCCCAGAGCGCACTCGGCGAGGAGAAGCTGCTGGCAGACATCCCGAGGCTGGAAAGCCACCGAGAAACGACGACCACCCCCGAAAACGCCCGAAAGCTCGAACCTCGACCCTCGAACCTCAATTTGACGCCGGGCGCCTGCAGTTGGCTCGAGACCTGCGCTTCGAAGTCGCCCATGCGCGAGGCCACCTTCTTCAGCAGCTGCGCGTCGCCCTGGGCGCTGTGGCGTACTTTCGCAAGCCCGCCCGCACAGTGAGCAAAACAATCGAAACAGTCAGGAAGGCGCTCCGAGCCGCAACGCGCACAACACAGAAACCCGCCAACCTAGTCGGCGTGTGTGAGAGGCTCTTCGACGCGAGGCCAACCCAACCCAAACCGAAATACGCCAGCCTCCTTTTGAACCGTCGTCGTCGCAAAGGAATTGGAACAAGCAAGCGAAGCGAAGCGAAGCGAAACCTGCCATCGCCGGACAGATGCCGGCGTGGCCGCCCGTGCGGGTGGCCAGCGCACCGCCGCCGGTGCGCAGGCCGCAGGCCCTGAACAGGACCGCGGCAGCTCGGCTCAGAGGTCCGCGCGCATCACATACTCTCATGCGCGTGCGTACCACACGTCCAGATTCGCAGCTGTTTCGAACCAAGATTCCTAGTTTACTCGGTAGCGAAAGTCACTGCATCATCTTCCCATCTGACGAAGCATCCCGGTCGCGAGCGGGTTGGGCACGATACGGTACCTTTTTTCCGAAGGCGCTTTCTACCAATCGCGGTCTTCAATGATGTCACCCGTCTCGCCCACCTGTCTATGGGCACGTTCGCAATCCCCCCACCCACCCAACGCTACTTCGCTTGCGAAAATTCGCCAGCGCAACGGGCCGAATGCGTGCTTATACCACCCGTAACTAGTTCAGAAGTTTTCTGGTTCGCGCGCGCGGGGCCGCCCCTGGGGGTCCCCGGATCAAAAATACCCCGGCCGATCCCCGGCAACGCTTTACTCGGAGATGGTTTTCCTCCTGGGCGCGGCCTCTCAGGCCCCACAGAGCGCGCCAAGAAGCCCCAAGAAGCCCCCAAGACGGTCCAAGAGGGTTCCGAGTCGTCGAACAATCGGCCCGAGACACCCACGATGGCTTCCAGACGGCCCACGAGGCGCACAAGACCCCCGGAGAGGCCACCAAGAGGCCACCCAAGAGAGCCCCAAGAGGGTAAATGTTACAAAATGGTTTTGAAAGATTTTGGTCTTCTCGCCTTGTCGGCTCCCCAACGGTCCAAGACGGCCCAGGAGGAGACCGCTCAAGACGACCCAAGAAGAGGGTCCCAAAACGGTCCAATATGGCCCCAAGACAGACCAAGAGGCGCCCACGACGGCCCAAGATGGCCCCAAAACAGCTCCAAGATGGGCCCAAGACAGGGACCAGGAATCGAAACGCCCAGTCTTCAGCCCCAAGAGGTCCACAGGAGGCCCCAAGAGGCCCCCATGAGGTCCCAACCCGGCCCCCAAGAGGCATCCCAAAAAGCCCCAAGAGGTCCCCCAAGAGGCCCCAACCCGGCCCCCAAGAGGCCTCAAAAGTGCCCCCCAAAGGCCCCCAAGAGGCCCCAACACGGCCCCCAAGCGGCGAGGCAATATGGACCGGCGAAGTGAGCGAAGCGATTCAATGATTATACGCAGCACTGCACGTTGGCATGTTTAGCTTCGGTTTCTGCAATATGTGTGGCCCGCTTGATCCATGCCACATAATTTTCGTCGGTGTGTCTCTGGGGCGCGACCATCCTCCGCAGCATGTGTCGCCGCATGCTCCGCAGCTTCCTCTTTTGTGTCACTCTGAGTTTCCATGCATCTGCGCACCATAAGCATGTTTTGATACAGTGACATCGAAGAGACGGAGACGTCGAGCCTCGGGCGAGTGTTTCTCAGCTAGCAACGGCAATAAACTAAACATTTTCGCCCAGCCCTTTGTCAGCCGAGCCTCGAACTCCACGTTTGTATTCCCGCTCATGGTGACCATTATTCCAAGGACTTTGAATCCTCTGTCGCAGCAGCACACAGGGCACGACACCTTTGCGAAAGCGATCTTCTTGTCCGGCGGCGCTCTCTTGCCATCGCACTGGACGTTGCACTCGTCTGCGTTCATTTGCAAAGACATGCCTCCGAACCGCTCTGAAATGACAGCTAACATTTGCCCGAACGCCTGTTTTGATTTTGCAACTACCGTCGTGTCGTCAGCAAACATTGAGTATGTCATTCTGTCTTTTCCCAGAAATTGCTCCCGAAAGCAATGCCATATCCTTTCCTTTCCCAATCCACACGAAGCTCTGACATGGCTCCACGGACTGCGTTTGTAAATAGCGCCGGTGACACAGAGTCGCCGTCTGACGCCACGAAGAATTCGAAGTATATGTTTTTGGTGTGTGGGTCGATCTGCACGAGAGCAGAATGCCGAGCGCACAAATATTGCATCCCACGTAGATCGCAATATTTGACCCCAGCTGCTTTGATACGAAAGAACACAGCAGAACGAAGTATCTTGTCGCACGCTTTCTCTAAATCCAACAAAGCAGCCCACACAGTTCCACTCCTCCATTCCACACTCTTTTCGGGGATCATTCTCATGCAGCGAATAAGGTCGCCACACCCATATTCCTTTCGAAAGCAAATTTCTTCCGACGTCTTCAATCGATCCAACATCGAACCGATATGCGACATTAAAACAGATCTGCAGGATTTGCTGAGCATGGATATGATGGCAATGGGGCGCTATTTGGGGGGAGGGTCGCGTCTCCTTTTCCTGAGTAGCACTGCAAGTTCTGTCTTACACCACACCTCTGGCACGTGGCTTTTTCCAGTCAACAGATCGCAGATAAGGCTTGCAATGGTGTCGAGCATCACCTCGCCGCTGTCCTGTAGCATCTCCGCGACGATTCCGTCCTCAGCACAAGTATTATTCTTGCTCATCATCTTGAGGACCGCGTCGATGGACGCCAGACTTCTCGCAGTCGCCTGGACGCCTGGCTCTGGCAGCACAGCATCCTCTTTCTACGCAGAATATACATTTGCATGAAAAAATATCGTGGCGAAAGACCCAGCCATATGCAGATGTAGGTACTGCAATTGTGAATGCATTGTGCGGTGAAGCTCCTTATGCGGCCACGAAGCGCTGCACTGGGTTGGAGGGAACGCATGCGGGCGGTAGCACCGGGGCCGTCGGTGGAACTCCCTATAGGGCCACGAAACGCTCTATTGGGTAGGTTGAAACGCCGAAGTGGGCGTGTGGGACGCATGCGGGCGGTCCCACTGGGGGCTTCGGTGGAGCTCCCTATGGGGCCACGAAACACTGCACTGGGTGGTTGAAAAAATCCACATGGAGCGTGTGGGGCGCATGCAGGCGGTCCCACTGGGGGGCTCACTGGGGCCACGAAAGGCTGTACTGGGTAGGTGAAAATACCAAGTTGGGTTTTCGGAACGCATGCGGACGGTCCCACTGGGGGCTTCCGTGGAACTCCCTATGGGGCCACGAAACGCCGCACTGGGTGGGTGACAAAATGCCAAATTAGGTTTTCGGGACGCATGCGGACGGTCCCACTGGGGGCTTCGGTGGAGCTCCCTATGGGGGCCACGAAACGCTGTACTGGGTGGGTGAGCATTCCAAATTGGGTGTGTGGGACGCATGCGGGCGGTGTCACTGGGGCTTCGGTGGAATTCCCTATGGGACCACGAAACGCCGTACTGAGTGTGTGGAAATGACAAAATAGGTTTTCGGGACGCATGCGGACGGTCCCACTGGGGGCTTCGATAGCTCCCTATGGGGCCACGAAGCGCTGTACTGGGTGGGTGACAATACCAAATTGGGTTTTCGGGTCGCATGCGGAGGGTCCCACTGGGGGCTTTGGTGGAGCTCCCTTTGGGGCCACGACGCGCTGTACTGGGTTGGTGAAAATGCCAAAGTGGGCTCGCGGGACGCATGCGGACGGTGGCAGTGGGGCCTTCGGCGGAGCTCCCTAAGGGGTTACGAAAAGCTGCACTCTGGGTGGGTGAAAATGCCAAATTCGGTTTTCCGGACGCACGCGAACGGTCCCATTGGGAGCTTCCATAACTCCCTATGGGGCCACGAAACGCTGTACTGGGTGGGTGAAACCATGCCAAATTGTGTTTCCGGGACGCATGCGGACGGTCCCACTGGGGCCGTCGGTGGGGTTCCTTTTGGGGCCACGACACGCTGTACTCGGTGTGCGGGACGCACGCGAACGGTAGCACTGGAACCTTCGGTGGGGCTCCCCATGGGGCCACGAAACGCCGCACTGGGTGTGCGGGACGCATGCTGATGGTAGCACTGGGGGCTTCGGTGGGGCTCCCTATGGAGCCACGAAACGCTGTACTGGGTGGGTGAAACGCAGGGAGGAGGGAGAGGGGGGCTACGAAACGCTGTACTGGGTGGGAGGACGCATGCGGACGGTAGCACTGGGACCTTCGGTGGGGCTCCCTACGGGGCCACGAAACGCTGTACTGGGTGGGTGAAACGCAAGGAGGAGGGAGGAGGGGGCCACGAAACGCTGTAGTTGGTGGGGGAACGCCTGCGGACAGTAGCACTGGGACCTTCGGTGGGGCTCCCTATGGGGCCACAAGACGCTGTACTGGGTGGGTGAAACGCAGGGAGGAGGGAGAGGGGGGGCCACGAAACGCTGTACTGGGCGGGGGGACGCATGCGGACGGTAGCACTGGGACCTTCGGTGGGGCTCCCTATGGGGCCACAAGACGCTGTACTGGGTGGGTGAAACGCAAGGAGGAGGGAGGAGGGGGCCACGAAACGCTGTACTTGGTGGGGGGGACGCATGCGGACGGTAGCACTGGGACCTTCGGTGGGGCTCCCTATGGGGCCACGAAACGTTGTAATGGGTGGGTGAAACGCAGGGAGGAGGAGGAGGGAGGAGGGTAGGAGGAGAGGAGAGGAGGAACGCGGGAACCGTCCCTTCAAAACGAGAACCCAACACCACAGGATGGTTGGGGAAAAACGCAAATACTTGAGCGCTGTCAGCTTTGCCATGTCGCACGTGCCCCTAAGTGTCCCGAATGCTCGCAAGATGTTTTCTTCGAGGGCCAAAAGAAACAAACAAGAGGGATTGAACAGTGTCGTAAGTACATCGAATGATGGAACCCCCTTCCCGCTGACCCTTCCCCGCCGGGGGGGAGGTCCTACGGGGTGGTGCGGCCCGGGTCGAAGTCCCCGGGGGTGGTCCAGGGGGGTGGTCCCGGGGGAGCGTTCGCACGCCCCTGCCGCATCCATCTCGGCACACCCCTCCCGCGTTTCGTGGCCCAAAGCCGCAGCGGCTGAGCCCGCCGCATCAATTCCGGCATATCCCTCACACGCTTCGTGGCCTCAGAGGGAGCTCCACAACGGGTTCCAGCGGCTGCGTTCGCATGCGCCCGCCGCACCAAGTCCGGCACACCCCTCACACGTTTCGCGGCCCCATAGGGAGCTACACCGAAGACGATAATCAGAAGCGCATTACTCACAACTGCACATGGTTGGGTCCTTCTCCGAGCTGCTTCCTAGGGTTCTGCCTGATTCCGCGTCGTGCGCCCGAATGACTGTCGAATCAAACGGGGGAAACGGTGCTACTAGTAGTGGTAGGTGCTTAGTGTGCATTGTAATAATCGCAGTAGTGGTAGATGTCATAGTAGTAGCCCTAGTCGTAGTGGCAGTAGTAGTCAGGCGTAGTGTTAATAGTAATACAATAGTAAAAATGTTAGTCGTAGAAGGGGTAGCGGTAGTATCAATAGTAGTCGTAGTAGTAATACGAGTCGTAATAGTAATTGTAGTCGTAGCCGACGTCGGAGTAGTGGTAGTAGTAGCAGTCGTCCAAAATTATAATGACACTAACAGCCGTAGTCGTAGCAGTAGTACTAGTACTAAGGAAAAGATACTGCAAATATACGTTGTAGCAGTAGTAATTGTCGTGAGGGGGTTAGTAATAAAAGTAATAATCATAGTAGTAGTAGTAGTAGTAGTAGTAGTAGTAGTAGTAGTCGTCGCAGCCGTAGCAGTAGCAATAGTGCTAGTAGAAGTCGTGGTAGTAGTGGTAGTATTAGCGGTAGTAGGAATAATAATAATGATAGCGATACTACGAATATCAAATGTAGTCGTAGTAGAACAAACAACTGTCGTCGTAGTAGTAGTAGTAGTAGTAGTAGTAGTAGTAGTAGTAGTAGTAGTAGTAGTAGTAGTGGTAGCCTTAGTAGTCGTAGCAAGGATAGTCCTAATACTAGGAGGTGGTGGTAGCGCTAGTACCAATATTGATGGTGGTGGTTTGAATGTGGTAGTGGTAATGATAATCGTACTGGCAGGTAGAAGCAATAGTAGCGTCGTAGTGGACCGTCGTAGGCCGTAGTAGTCGTAGGACGCCTCTGTCCTAGGTGTAGTAGTTGACGTAATGGAAGTGGTGGTGACAATAGTAGCAGGAATAGTACTAGTAGTGGTAGTAATAGTAGTAGTAGTAGTATTAGTAGTAGTAGTAGTAGTGGTAGTAGTAGTAGTAGCAGTAGTAGTGGTAGTGGTAGTAGTAGCGGGGAAAGGAATAGTAGTAGTAGTAGTATTAGATCTAGTAGTAGTAGTAATAGTAGAAGTAGTCGTACTATTACTAGTAGTAGTAGTCGTGGTAATACTAGTAGTAGTAGTAGTAGTAGCAGCAGCAGTAGTAGTAGTAGTAGTAGTCGTGGTATACTAGTAGTAGTAGTAGCAGCAGCAGTAGTAGTAGTAGTAAGTAGTAGTAAGTCGTAGTCGTAGTAGTAGTAGTAGTAGTATAGTAGTAGTAGTAGTGGTAGTAGTAGTATAGTAGCAGCAGCAGCAGCAGCAGCAGTAGAGTAGTAGTAGTAGTAGCAGTAGCAGTAAGCAGTAGCAGTAGCAGGAGCAGAGCAGGAGCAGAGCAGCAGCAGCAGCAGCAGCAGCAGCTAGCACAAGCAGCAGCACTAGTAGTACTAGTATAGGTAGTAGTAGTAGTATTAGTAGTAGGAGGAGGAGAGGGAGGAGGAGAGCAGCAGCAGCATCAGCAGCAGCAGCAGTAGTAGTAGTAGTAGTAGTAGTAGTAGCTACAGTAGTAGGAGTAGTAGTAAGTAGTGGTGGTGGTAGTAGTAGTAGTCGTAGTAGTAAGTAGTAGTAAGTAGCAGTAGTAGTAGTAGTAAGTAGTAGTAGTAATAGTAGTAGTAGTAGTAGGTAGTAGTAGTAGTAGTAGTATAGTAGTAGTAAGTAGTAGTAGTAGTAGAGTAGTAGTAGTAGTAGTAAGTAAGTAGTAGTAGTAGTCGTAGTCTAGTCGTAGTAGTACTAGTAATTAGTAGTAGTAGTAGTAGTAGTAGTAGTAGTAGTAGTAGTAGTAAGTAGTAGTAGTAGTAGTAAGTAGTAAAGTAGTTAGTAATAGTAAAGTAGAAGTTAGTATAGTAATAGTAGTAGTAGTAGTAAGTAAGTAGTAGTAGTAGTAGTAATAGTAGTAGTAGTAGTAGTAGTAGTAGTAGTAGTAGTATAGTAGTAGTAGTCGTTCCGCCTACCCTTGGGGTCACGATGGCGTGTGAAATGCTTCTCCCAACCCCAACCTCCTCCGAGGGTCTGGTCTGGCCGGTTTGGGGGGGGGGGGGGGGGGGGGGGGGGGGGGGGGGGGGGCAATCCATCATCCGCACACTTGGAGCCTCAGGAAGCCCCAAAACGACCCAAAAGGGCAAGAGAGCTACGAATCGACGAAAGATCGCCCCGAAACGCCGAAGATTGTATCCACATGGCTCCATAAGTCCGCAAGACGTTTGAACCAATATTACGAGGCGCCCCAAAGAGGCCCTTCAGAAGCAAAAATCGTCCCATTCCCTCGGGAAAACGTACATTTTCACCACATTCGCCCATTCGGCTCCCACGCGGCGCAAAACGGCCCAAGAAATCTCCAAGATCGACCCTCGCCAGCCCAAAACGCTCCCAAAAAGGCTCCAAGACGGCGTCCGGGCGATCCACGAAGGCCCCAGAAACCATAGC